CACCTCCGGCCAGCAACAGGATTGCGGACCACCACATCCTGTTGCCCACACCCAGACAACCTCAGCCATGCGGGCAATTCATCCAAAACACTTATCCAACATGTTCAATTTGAAACTGAAAATAAAGCAATCACAACTATTGCGCCGCGCACTAAACTTGGCTGATTCCAGCGTCGTCCCTTTAACCCATGGTCGTGGACCACTCCATTTAGCACCCTCTCATCATAGTAAAGCTATTCCACCATTGGGTCTTCCACAATTTTGCCTGAATTCATTAGAATTTCATTTCGAAATCCAATTACAATTTTTGGAATATAGTATTTTTCCCACGAATTGAACTACTTCAGGTCGAAATTGACCTAGACCCATGGTTGGGCTAGGTGCGCCTGGTGAAGAGGGACCTAGTCCAAGTGGTCTGCAACCATGGGTGTTTCGAACGGCGCCGGAATTGGAGAAGTTTGCAGGTTGTGTTGCGACTGGCAAATAAACTGGCTTGAAATTAATTTTTTTTTTTTTTTTGATGTTTGTTGTAAATTGTTGGTATGGGTGTGGTATTCTGGTGATAGGCAATTGATAGGAGGTAGGTTCCAATCATGAGGGTGGTCAGAATGTAATTTCAGAAGATTTTTAGATTTGAAGACAGTAAACTTTTAGCATTAATTTCGAACACTACAGTTGATGAAATTGGGAGTGGTTGGGTGGTAATTGAAGGGGCAATTGGAGGGCTGTTGACCGGTGTCAACGTCTAACGGCTTGGGTGGCCAAAGGCTACAGAAGTTTGGACGCATTTGGGCTGAAAAAAAAATCAAAAAATCGCCACTATATATTACAAAATATCCTGTTGCTTGGTAGGTCAGAGATATGGTAAAAGGGGGAAATTTACAAAGATCATTTTAAAAATTTATATTCTACCTACTACATTTTACATAATGACTACAAAAAACACCCTTTGCCGAAAAATTTACAAATATGACATTATAAATAGCTAAGTCGACAAAAAATACGCTTAACTTACACCCTATATATTACGTACCATTTTTTAATTATTGATTTTTTTTTTTCATTAAATATCTTTAAAGGATGTTTTTGTATAAAATTTAAAAAAAATTATAATCTTGTTTTTCTTAACTATAACCAGAAATCAATAAAAATTAATCTTAGTAAGTAAATAAAATATTGAAAATTTTAGAAAATAGTTATTTGACTGTTTCGGCATTGTAATTTTTTTTAATTGCTATATTATAATTAACCAAATTTGTTCAATAAATAAAAACTAAAAAAACCAAAAAATAAAGATTTACCATTGGGGTATTTTTACAACTTAAAAAGTTGTTAAGAGTATTCGTGCACAAATTTATCGGCATCTATTGCAGATGAATATTTTCTTGCGTGCAAGAAAGCTTCATAGAAGAGAAGAATCTATAAATATAACTAATATATATGGTTGTGTAAAAAATGAAAATGGGAAAGAATTAAGTATATGATGCAATGACACAAGTCGAATAAATGTTAATTTATGGAGGGATATTTGAATGATATAAGGAAAACAAATTTAATCTTTTTAGATGGATAGAAGAATCATAGTAATATTCTAAAAGATATTAGCATCATTAAAGTCATCTGAAAAATCTCATATCTTCTATTATCTTCTATTTTATGTGTAGCAAGTGATTGCCAAAGAACATAATATATTTAAATAATTTTTATTATATTTTATATCTAAATGATAGCAATTTTGGTAGAGATTCAATCTCTGAATTCTTCTTAGATAAACAGGAAATTGGTTGACTTTATATGCCAGTTGGGAACACCATAAGGATATAAGTGTCTTTATACTAATCCAATTAATTAATTGTGTCATTGTATTTTATATTGTGGCATGACAAACAAGACTAGCTAAATTTCAACAATGATTAGTAAATGATTGGATTTTATCCAACTCAATGATATGTAATTAAAAGATGAATTATTGTTTCAATTCTTACTGGTTAAAAGTTGATCATAGGTGGATTTTATGATAAAAACTATGGTAAAAATGGCTTATTTTGGCATGGTTTACTCAGATTGCGAATGACAGCTACTTTAGGTTTACATATGAGTTGTTCTTAACTACCTAAATTGTCGTTCCCTAAATTTATACTCAAATAAGTATCACCGACAATTTTTCTCATTTGTCGTATATTCTCATTTTCAAAAAAATTGTATGCCAAATGCCTCGTGCTGCTTGAGAAGTTCTAATTCGAAGAACTACGAAAACTATCTACTTACATGTTATGCATTCTTTCCCTCATTTCTTTTGCTAGCTACATGCATTATTTTCTGATGCTTCAAAATTGATAATAAGCGAACAAATCTAGTACGGTGGATTATGTTAAGTTGTAGAGCCTAACTATTGCCGCTATGCAAAATCCATAATTGGATTGACTTTGTAATTTCGATTTTGTCCTAATCTCTTGTATACAAAGGAAGACGTCATTAGAGTTTTGTACTAGGGTGTGCGATTTTTTTCTCCTAAACTTCTTTTTATCATAATTAATTATTGTGGCAGACTACGTTCTGGTCTCATATTAAGGTGAACCTATATAAATCTTGCTTATTCTTTTTTTTCTCTCTCTCTCTCTCTTTTTTATTGCGATTTTATTGCTCTTGATGCCCGGTGATATAAAATTAGAGTTTCTAATTATGAACATATTATTGAAATTATGAATATATTTGGTGTATATCAAGAAGATGTCTCATATGAAATACTGAATACTATTTTTAACTTCTAAAACTGTCCGGTGTTTACCCTAACGACCTTATGGAGGATGCCAAAGGTGAAACTATTTACTAGCAAATTGTAAAATTGACTTTTTAACAAAAAACTTAAAAAACCACTATTCATAGGTCATTTTGCAAAATCCCCCCACCATAAGGATAGTCTTTATACTAATCCAATTAATTAATTGTGTCATTGTATTTTATATTGTGGCATGACAAACAAGACTAGCTAAATGTCAACAATGATTAGTAAATGATTGGATTTTATCCAACTCAATGATATGTAATTAAAAGATGAATTATTGTTTCAATTCTTACTGGTTAAAGGTTGATCATAGGTGGATTTTATGATAAAAACTATGGTAAAAATGGCTTATTTTGGCATGGTTTACTCAGATTGCGAATGACAGCTGCTTTAGGTTTACACATGACCGGTTCATAACTATCTAAATTGTCATTCCCTAAATTTATACTCAAATAAGTATCACCTACAATTTTCTCGTTGTCGTATATTCTCATTTTCAAAAAATTGAATGCCAAATGCCTAGTGCTGCTTCATAAGTACTTGTAATTCGAAGAACTATGAAAACTATCTACTTACATGTTATGCATTCTTTCCCTCATTTCTTTTGCTACATGCATTATTTTCTGATGCTTCAAAATTGATAATATGCGAACAAATCTAGTACGGTGGATTATGTTAAGTTGTAGAGCCTAACTATTGCTGCTATATAAAATCTGTAATTGGATTGACTTTGTAATTTCGATTTTGTCCTAATCTCTTGTATACAAAGGAAGACGTCATTAGAGTTTTGTACTAGGGTGTGCGATTTTTTTCTCCTAACCTTCTTTTTATCATAGTTAATTATTGTGGCAGACTAGGTTCTGATCTCAAATTAAGGTGAACTTATATAAATCTTGCTAATTCTTTTTTTTTTTCCCCTCTCTTTTTTACTGTGATTTTATTGCTCTTGATGCCTGGTGATATAAAATTAGAGTTTCTAATTATGAACATATTATTGAAATTATGAATATATTTGGTGTATATCAAGGAGATGTCTCATATGAAATACTGAATACTATTTTTAACTTCTAAAACTGTCCGGTGTTTACCCTAACGACCTTATGGAGGATGCCAAATTAAGGTGAAACTATTTACTAGCAAATTTTTTTAACTTCTAAAGTGTCCGGTGTTTACCCTAACGACCTTATGGAGGATGCCTAATTAACGTGAAACTATTTACTAGCAAATGGTCATCAAGTTCTTCCAACAGGAGCAGGCACAGTTGGTGGTGCCTGTCAAGTAGGTTTAAGCCTGCTTAATGACACAGTACGAAGAACCTATAGAAATAGACTCTTTCTTTAGTCAATCTTAACTGCCATAAAAATTCCTGGAAGGGGACACCTGGTTCCAACTCCAAAAGGTCAATAACTATTGGAAGTATTAAATGATAAAAAGGTACAGTTTCTATACTATTTCTCTTTTTTACTTCAATTCTTTATGCCAGAAAGAGTTTGTTAATGACAAGAGTGTTGTTTCTTAAATTATAACACGTTCAACCTTTCCTTTCTTTAAATTCTTGAGACCGAACAAGCTAGCCTCAGATTGAGCCTCATTTCTCGATACTTCCCGGTTTTCCCTTCTGATCTCTTACACACACATATATACACAAGGAAAAATCATATACTCTAGATGTTTAAAATGGGGTGCAAACCAGTTGATAAGCCTAAAATCAAGCACAAGAGGGGATTATGGTCACCAGATGAAGATCAGAAACTTAGAAACTACATCCTGGAACACGGCCATGGCCTCTGGAGCTCGGTTCCCTTCAATGCTGGTAAGTTAATCTCGTAGTCTGCCGTATGTTGGCATAGTGCATGTTCAAGAACTCCTGTATTCGACAATTCGGGATAAACATAGTCAGTGCTGTCTAGCTATAAGAATGTGTAACCACATACAGCATATGATAGGATTTGAAAAAATTTTACGCTGGCTGTCTGCCCATGGAAACATCACATTTCTAATCGCTCCAGCACTTTTGTGCTATTGCCATCTATTCTGTCAAATCCTTAACTCCTCCTATAATTTCGACATCATCATCTCGGTTTTAAGTTTATTTGTATACATATAGGAGTATCAGTGTGATCCCATGATTATAACCTTTAGTTATGCTATATTTCATTTATGATAGGACCATCCTTCGGTTCATTCATGTTTATGAGTTATTGACTTTGAATACACTTTAGTCCAGATAAAGAACTTGATAAAATTAAAAATGAAGAAGTCTTCGACGAATGATAACAGTACATCTCATACGAAGTCGTTATCTTTGTCACACTACTTGGAATTTTTTTTGGGATCTGGTAGGATGGCTGCTACAGGCCAATATATACCTATAGAATTTTGTGTTAAAATTTGATATCTTCTAATGAAATAAATGATTATTTAATATCTTATATTAAAGGCTAAAAGGCACCATCGAGGTTGAATTTTTTATTTTTATTTTTTTCTTTTCTTTTTTGGTGTTTATCCTATCATTTTATTGCTTGCAGGTTTACAAAGAAATGGAAAGAGCTGCAGATTAAGGTGGGTCAATTATTTAAGGCCAGGATTAAAGAAAGGAACGTTTAGCACAGAAGAGGAGGAGAAAATCCTAACCCTTCATCAAATATTAGGCAACAAGTAAGAAACTAAATTACATTCGGCAGTTGGTACTCTGGGACAACAAACAAGATTTTAACTTATTATTTATTCGTATGCATACTACATGCATGGTCCATCACACTAAACAGGTCTTGAGTGAATTTATAATTTCTTGGCAATTTTTAGGATGCTTTGATGAATTGGATAAACGTGATAAAACTCATAAGTTGCACTGCTGAGTCCTATCGAATTAGATAAACGTATTAAAACATGGTTAAAAAATAGAAACATGTGATAAAGTTGCACTGTCCATTTCCAGTCAAATTCTCCCTGCTGTACCAAACATGACATAAATCATTAAAGACTTCTGAACAATGAATAACATTTGTTACTTTCGGCTTTCAGGTGGTCTCAAATCGCACAACATTTGCCTGGAAGAACTGATAATGAGATAAAGAACTTCTGGCATTCTTATCTGAAGAAAAAGGTAGCAAAACTATATGAAAGTACTGAAACTCAGGCGAAACCTGAATTCACAGGTAGGCAAATGGAAAATGTGAGCTCTTCATTTTCTTCCCCAAAGTCGACTACTCAAAACTCAAGTTTGGACTCATTTGAACACATGGAAGGATCATTAATGGATACAGATCAATCTAGTAAACAAAAAAATGGAGCCCAGAATTTTAATTTACCCAAAATTCTCTTTGCTGAATGGTTCTCATCAGATCAGTTTCATGGCAAGGATTTGCAGAATTCTGGCAATCTCAAGAATACTTTTAACAACCCTAGTACAAACTTTCAAGACGAATCCATTCTTGGTTTACTGCTTGATGATCAGACTGCTGGAAGGGAAATGCATACAAAACCAAACAACTATTCAGTTGATGATATATTTTTTCCACCGTTTGATCAAGATCAGATTTTGGAAAGGGGGCTTGATTATTTTCCTGGTGAATTCAGCTTGAGTTGTGATGAAATGTATGTATGAAGGGTGTGTGTGCCTATCTATGAGCAACTTCAAGAGAGAATAACGTCTAATTGCAATAACAAATTATAAAGCAGGATAGCGAGAATCCATGCACAGTAATTAGTGGTTATTGTTCACATGAAGTTGCTGGTTAGCATACTCTTCTTTGTTAGTTCTTCACTTAAAGTTGCTTCTTAGGACACTTGTTTTCTATTGTGAGTACATTAGAAGCTAAGGGCCATACTGTAATAATTTCAGAAATGAACCGTTGCAGATTGAAATAAAGTTCATTTTCTTTTTCCCCTTCACAATGAAACTTGAAATACACGACTTTTCTCTGATTTGATCTCACATTGAATCAATCTCCTAAAAGCTTAAACAAAGAAAAAATTACAACGAACTAAGAACAAACTATTGTTGATCTTTGCGACACGAATTCCAACCGTGGATCTTCAATGTCTTCCTTGATAATTGTAGATCTCCCTACAAATCAATGAATACACACCTTCAGATGCCAAATTAGAGCCCAAGCCTCAAGAATTTATGTGTGAATCTATGTAATTTGCCTCAAGAATGGGTCGCTCTTTGAAAGAATGAATGAAACCTGGCTCCAAGCCTCAAGAATTTATGCGTGAATCTATGTAATTTGCCTCAAGAATGGGCCAATCTTTGAAAGAATGAATGAAACCTATTTATGAACCTCTAATTAGGTCTAGAATCAAACCCCAAGTGGTGTAAAATCATAAGTTGAGTCGGAGTAGGAGAGCCGATTTTTCCCTCGCCTTAACACCATGTGATCACACAGTGCACCGAATTTGCATGGTTTAGTAAATGTGCCTACTACGTATGGAAATTGATGCATTGTGAATCGCACCATATTAAATCAGTGTGATCGTAGTGTTAAGCAATTTTCATTCTAGAGAAATTTGGTTCCTCAATTCAATTCTCCGTTCAGCCTGTTGGGAAAAAAAAAAGGCTTTCTCGAGCTAATTTTGGCACAATTTTGAGTGGGATCCGTTTGTTCATTTTGGAAGATTTGTGTTCTCCTCCATGAGAACATCAAAATCATATATAAATTTATCAAAATTGATGCTTGGAAATGAATGAGAAATTGGAGTTCAAAATGTACCAATTGAAATATGTTTATGTGTTGGAGGGAAAAGAATTTAACTTGTCCCACATGGGAAAATGATGAAATCAAATACCACTTTATACATAATTACGCTTTGACATGGTGTAATCTTGTGCGCCATAGAGGCTCTCTCAACGTGCGTGCGCAAGGAGATGCAAATTAAGGACCAAATTAGAACTCGGACCTTGAACTTGTATGTAGACATGACCTGCACACACAAATGTCTGACCGAATGGACCAAATTGGCCCCTCAGGAGGGTCAACATTATGCTTATGCACAGATTCTGTTGATTTTTCTATTGTATCATGGGAAATAGACGCTCATTAATTCCTCAAGCACTGATTTAAGGACACTATATTTACATAAACCTCAATTTGCTATTTTCTTTCCTTTTGTAATTTTAAACTAGATTTACGTATTTTGCACATTTTCTTCTTGTTTGTTCTTCTACACTAATAAAAATGAATTTATTTACTTCTGAAATTGTATAATTGTTCCAGAAACTAATATTCGTTTTATTTTTAGAAATGGTAACTGAATCAACCGACATGGATTCAATCCAAACTATGGTTGCTGAAAACCAGACTATGGTTCAAGGGTCAAGTTCTGTTGTGACCCAAACAGTGGCTAAATTGTTAAGTCATGTTGTGAGCCAAATTGTGGCTCAAACAACTGCCCTGTCGTGACTGTTCCCATTAACCATGGGGAAAATCGGAGTCATTCAATGGCTTGAATTTCAAAGGTGTCAATAGAAGATTTTTTCTATTTGACCACCTTGAATTTGCGAGAGGTTTTTGACTAAGAATGCTCCAAAACTCAATGAGAGTGAGGGAGATATCAAAGCTATTAATGCACTTGATGTGTGGAAACATTATAATTTCCTTTATTGTAATTACGTCATGAATAGTTTGCCTGATTCACTATACGACGTGTATAGTACGATGAAAATAGCTAAAGAGTTATGGGAGTCAATTGACCGAAAATATAATAGACCAGGAATATAAACTGAGGATTTGGGGCTAAACAAATTATCGTCGACAAATTCTTAAATTGTAAGATGGTGGACTCCAAAAATATAATTAGTTAAGTGCGTGAACTCTAAGTGATTTTCCATGAAATTGATGTCGAGGGGATAAATTTAAGTTAAACTTTCCAAATTGCTGCAATTATTGAAAAATTAACTCCGGCATAAAAAAATTTCAATAATTATCTAAAATACAAACGAAATGAAATGAATGTTGGAGAACTGATTGTTAGATTTCGAATTTAAGAAGATAAAAAAAAAAAAAAGTTCAGAAAAGAAAGGGTTCGATTTTATTGTGGCTAAAGCCAATATCGTTGAGCATGAACGAAGTTCTAAGACCTTCAAGAACAAGTTGGGATTGAAAGGTGGAATTTTCGAAAAGAAATTTGACGGAAAATGCTTCAACTGTAAAAAAGTATGTCAAAAATCTTCGAAGTGCAAATTACCTAAGAAAAGGAAAGTTGCAAATGTGGTTAACTACATAGCACAAGATGTGTTTGAAATAAACCTCACAACTGTTATTTTTGAAGTGAATATGGTAGGTTCAAACATAAAAGAATGGTGGATTGACATCGGTGCTTCGAGGCATGTGTGCTATGATAAAGAACTATTTACTGTGTTCGAAACAATTGAGAATGGAGAAAAGTTGTTCATGAGAAATTCAGCAACTTCTAAAATCAAGGATCAATGCAAGGTGATTTCGAAGATGACTTCTCATAAAGTGCTAGCTCTTAACAATGTGCATTATGTACCAAAAATTTGCAAGAACCTAGTGTCTGGGCTTTTGAATATACATGATTTTCGTAGAGTATTTGAGTCTTTTGTTAAACAGTGGAATGTTTGTTGGAAAGGGTTATGCTTTTGATGAGATATTTAAACTCAATGTAGTGGTTATTGAGTTGAAAATGAAAAAAAATTAATTTTTCTGTTTACTTGATTGAGCCTTCTAATTTGTAGCATGATCGATTATGACTTATGATACATTGCGTAGATTAATTAACTTGAATTGGATACCCGCGTTCCATATTGATTTAAAACATAAATGCCAAATTTGTGTTGAGACAAAATTGATAAGGTTATCAGTTAAATCATTTGAAAGGATTACAAAACTCCTTGATTTAACAGTGATTTATGTGATTTAAGATTTGTACAAACAAGAGGTGGCAATAAATACTTCATTATTTTTGTGAACGAAATCATAAAGTACTATTATGTATATTTGCTTAAAAGTGAAGATGAAGTTATAGAGAAATTTATTTTTTATAAGAATGACGTTGAAAATTAACTTAATAAAAAAATTAAGGTGTTGAAAAGTGATCCATATGGCGAATATGAAGCATTATTTGCTGAATTTTGTGCACAACATAAAATCATATACAAAATCAATGCACTTTATTTGCCGCAACAAAATTGTGTTGTTGAATGAAAAAATCGTACCTTAAAAGAAAAGATAAATGCAATGTTATTAAGTCTTAGGTTACTTCAGAACATGTGGGAGAAGTTGTGTTGTTGGAAAATTACATTTTAAATATGATGCCCTGAAAGAAAATGGAAAAGATCTCTTATGAGTTATGGAAATGAAGAAAGTCTTCCTATAATTACTTACGAGTATGGGGGTGAAGATATGCCCAAAAACTATAGATTACACCTTTATTGGCTATGTACATAATAGTAGTGCTTGTCGATTTCTTATACATGAGTCTAAAATTCCAAACATACATAAAAACACGATAATGGAATCATGGATTGCTTCGTTCTTTGAACATATATTTTCATACAGATCTAAAGATGAAGCAAGCTCTTCTAAAAGGACACACGAGACAATGATTGGAAATAGTCAGGATCAAAAACTTAAAAAGGAAGTTGAGGTAGAACCAAAACGCAATTCTGGAAAGTGAACCTTAAAACTTTCAAAAGCCATGAACTTTTTAGAAAGATTTCAATGGAAATAGGCCATTAAAAGTATGTTAGGCTTATATATTGTATTGCCGATTATGTGAACAAAAGGACCAACTTGAACGATTATAAAAGTTAAGGGACTAAATTGTAAAGTTTCATAATTGGTAGGTTAGCTTAAGGTTTGGGAGTTCATGTTTGGAACAAGAAGGATTCATGTCGACTTTTCACTAGCTGCTCGCCGGAGTCATGCTTGAGCTGATGAAGCAGGAACATCTTGGGTCGACCTTCGCCCAACTGTCGCTCAAGAGATAGAACCTTCACTCGAGCAAAATGTACTTCTCGCTCAAGCAATTTATTATATCAGCCAAACCTAATTTTAATTTACGAGACTTTTGCTTGGCCCAATTTTCTTAAACTGTCCAACCTACCACATATTCTACTAAAGGAAATTGAACACACTATTTTCCAGAGTGAATTCATTCTGCACAAGATCAAAAATTCAATCCTTCAATCATTCATGCTCTCATCATATTGAAAACATCAAATCCATCGAGTCAAACACCAAACTGCATTCTTCGCTTGGGTCTGTAAGAAAGATTGTGTCGTCAACATTGTTGCTTTAAAGATTAAGGAAGAAGTTGAAGAACGATGAGTTTTTGGAAAGATCTACAGGAGATAAACTGCGTAAAGAGTCAGGATTGGAGTTCGTGTGCTCATTCCAGGAAGACTACTTTACAAAGAAAAGTCAGGATTGGTGTTAGTGTACACATTTCAGGATGACTGCTTCAAACTTCAGACTGGAGATCAGAAAGCTTGTGTCGTCAACTTTGCTGGTTGTCTGTAAGTTTTATTGACAGTTTATAGTAGATCTTTGACTGACAAAATGTCCGGAGTTTTTCCTACGTTGGGTTTCTCCGTGAACAATTCTGGTGTTGTTTATTGCTTTATTTACTGCTTTGACATAA